AAGAAAGTGATTTCATTTGCTGGTCAGCTGTAAAGCAAAAGAGACACAGTTTGAACACATTGCTTTAGTAAAACAGGCACAGAAAAGCCACCTCTTGATGGTTCTCTCCCTTCCTGAATATTGCATGAGTGCACATCCTATTTACTATCTCAACAATAACGTACCAGGGAAGACCAACATTAATCTAAGTCACAATGAAGTTTAACTGTCTGTACTTAGCTGCTTAGGTTTATTAATGTAGTCATTCCAAACCAAAATTAATTTGCTAGATTAGATTTTACAGCAGGTTGGTGGTAGAAGCAGCTTTATTCATCTTAAGAGGAAAATTTAATCAGATCCCAGCCTCAATAAAACACAGTCACACACCAGCACTGAAGTATCTGCAAAATACCTCGCTTTTCAAAATTCTTTCCAAGGCTGTCAGTGTCATTTATGTCCTCCTTACCACAGCTCAGGACAAAACTTCAAAAGCAAATATATCTTATACAGAAATAACCACCTACATCTTTTTGCCATTTACCATTTCTTACCATCCATATAGGGCTGTTATTTCTGGGGTGGGGGTGTTAAGCAATAAGACAACAACACAAAACAGAACAGATTAAGTGAGGCTTACCTTTAAAAATTACATGACCCCCATCACCTCCATTTCCACCATCAGGACCTCCAAATACTTTTCTGGGCTCACTGTAGAAGGAATGGCCCCCTCCTCCTCCTTGTCCTCCAACCACGCGCACTTTCCGCTGATCCACGAAATAACGTGTCTGCAACAAGGGTGGGGGATTGTTCCCTTTAAGTACAATTTATGAGACTCATCTTCCAAGAAGTTTCAGTTAATAGACAGACCTGCTATTTTTAGCCATGATGAATTCCATTCAACAGTAAAAAAAAAAAAAATCAGAACTCTGCTGCCATTCACAGACCAACTACGTGCAGTGTACTGAGTGTAATAATAAAGAAAAACAGATCTCATCTTTCAAGTGTTTTTAAAAGCAAATACCTAACTTTATCTATATCCAGAAAAGGGGCTGAAATTCCCAACGGAAAATATTAGAGAAGTACATTCATTGACAGGTGGAGTTGTTTACAAAGAGGGATGAAAAGAGAAAGCATGACCGTGATCACAGCAACTTTCAAATTCTGTCAGTTACTAAGGGACTTCATAATGAGAATGGGCTTTAAGGGTCACTTTAGATAAACAGCATAAACAGTACGTGAGGGAGAAAAGGTCTTATTAGTGTTATGATACCGAAGATAAGTAACTGAAAAAAACAAACCCTCTCAACTGAACTTTTCATAATCAAACTTATACTACTACTAAAAAGCCTCTTTTAGAAAGTATCTGGCACCACCACACGGCGAGACAGTAAACTATGGCTTTCAATGGGAAGTGACTTATGGATCATTAGAAAATAAGATTTTCCAGAGACGTGTACATATAAAAAATAAGATGAAGAATAAATTCTAGGACTCTGAAGCTTCCCTGACATAAAGTGATGCTTGTTTGGCAGATGACTACACCGTAAGACTAAAAAACCAGTGATAATCAAAACAGTATTTTAGATTTAAAGCTAAAATTTCATTTTAGAGCTTTAGCTTTAAAAAGACTTTTTGCTTTCGATATTTATGGATGCCTCCAGCCCAAATAGGCCAAAGAGAAGGGGACCGCTACTACGATCACGGTGAACACCGAGAATATCGCGGGGCAGACTCATTTCCTCACTATTCTGGAAGTCAGTTGTATTTTAGCCAGTATTTCCTCACTCCAGAAGCGCCAGCGGCGGGAGCTGTGTCTGAGGCACCCCGAACTCGCACGGAGCCCAGCACTTACCAGCTGCCGCTCCGAAATGGCTCTTTTTTGCCTCAGCCGCCTGTCCTTGGCGCACCGGGCGCAGGTCGTGGAGAAAGCTGTCGGGCTGAGCAGGAGCAGAACCGGCTTCCAGGGCCGGCAGCCGCTCGCCGCGGCCCCGCAGCGCCTCAGCGAGCTGCCCAGCACGGCCCCACACAGCACCGCCATGAGGGGACGGCCACGGTCCCGCCTCGGCCTCCCGGGCGCAGCCGCTGCGGCGAAGCCACGCCCTCCGGCCAAGCCTCAGCCCCGCCCATTCCCCCTCAGCCCCGCCCATCTCCGTCACAGCCCCGCCCATTCCCGCCTCAGCCCCGCCTCAGCCCGAGTGTGCCGGGAACGTGTGAGGGCTGAGGCAGCCCGCGAGCCACAAAATCCGGAATAGTTTGGGTTGGAAGGGACCTTAAAGATCTTCTCCTTCCATTCCACCCCTTCCACCCTCCCAGGCTGCACCAAGCCCCGTCCAGCCTGAGCATTTCCAGGGGTGGAGCAGCCACAGCTTCTCCGGGCAACCTGTGCCAGGGCCTCCCGACCCTCACAGTACCGAGCATCCTCCTAATGCCCCATCTAACTCTGCCCTCTGCCGGTTTGAAGCCATTCCTCCTTGTATTGTCACACCAGGCCTTTGTAAACAGTCTCCTTCCGTCTTTCTTACAGCTCCCTTCAGGCACTGAAAGGCTGCAATTAAGGCACCCCGAAGCTCCCCTAACCAGGCTGAGCAATCCCGATTGTCTCAGCCTTATATATATATATTTATCTATATATGCTCCATCCCTCTGCCTCCCCTGCTGCCCACGCCGGGGATCAGCCCCGCACACGGGGGATTTCCTCTGGGCCGGGGCACGTCCAGCTCTCACCCACCAGCACCCCAAGGAAAGGGTAACCTGAGCTACCCATTCCATCTGCCGCAAGAAAAGTGCCACCAAATCCACTTTCAGATAATATTTAAACTAAACAGTTTTCAAGCATTCTGTATTACAAAACAGAAAATGATACAATTCATGGAAGAAGTCAAAATGCTGGCATCACTTTGTTTCCACATTAATACATAAAAATGGACGACACATTAAATAAACGTTTTGTTATTAACAATTAGAAATATTAACACCAAAAATCATGTATAAATTAGGAAATAAATGTACAAACTATTTCCAAAGTGCTCTTTCAAATACATTATATACACAACATTCACGAAGTTCTTAATGTAAGACATTTCAGATTGATGTAATGTTGCTGTTTCAGTTTAAGTGTTGTTCATATTCTCTCAAAAGCATTTCAGCACTTTCAAAAACCACATAAAAGGCATATTCCCAAACTGGCAAAGAGCAATATTGCATTCTTCTGGCTACCTGTAATAGTAATTATTATAAAGAAAACAATCTTACTTCCTTTCTGTTCCTTGCTATTTGAGAGTACTTATTTGTATGAAAACACCAGCAGGAAAGATGAGAAAAATGAGAACCGACTAAAAAAAAAGTCTTCAATTTTATCAGTAGTTGAAATTACTAACATAGAAAGGACAGTGCTTGGATATCATTTGATAGTAAACTCTCTAGTTGTCCAGTTAAAGATATTCTTCTAAAGGAAAAAAAAGTAATGAATTGAGAGATGTTTTGTTTCCCTTGTGGTCTCCATTTTTCAAAATATAAAGTACTCAAAATCCCTTAAATAACATCAGTCAGACAAAGAAAAGGAGAAAATCCTACAGAGTGTATTTACTTTAGATTGTAAATTTGCAGTTAATCTCATATCAAAAAATGCTTGTGGGGTACAGCCACCCCAGCTTCTTGCTTCAGAGAAATTTGGTCACAGTATTTTGTTCAACACTTATATAAGCACTTTAAAAGTGCCTTTTTTTTTTCAAACCCCCCCCCCGCTAAGACTTTATAAGAACATATAAAACTGAATAGAAGTGACTTACATTGTTCATACTGATTTTTACATACCACTAGGTTTTCTCTCTAAATTCTCCCTCTATAGGTATTCTCTCACTGGTTGACCCCATTAATAGCTCCCCTCTCTATATGCATAATAATGTCTCACTATTAAAGCTGAATTTAATTGCTTGTATGCAATAAAGATGCATTTTTTCTTTTACCTCTGAACTATTTTACTGTCAAGCTACGATAGGAAAATAAAAGTGATCATGAGCTGTAAGAACAACAGACCAACAAATTTGACAATATTCATGGTTATAATGCTTGCTGGGGAATCTGAGCAAGGGCAGCGCAAGAATCAGAATAAAGAAGGATGCCAGCCACCTGCTTGCAAAATTTGGCACAAAAAATGTATATGCATGTTATAAAATTTGGAGTAGGATATTCAAGATGGGACTTCTGCCAGATGTTTTTCTCAGCTAAGCACGATATGAAGCAATATTGACATCGAACAGGCTGACACTGCAGGTCTCAGAGCTCCCTTCTGGTTTTCTTTCCACGACAGAAATACCTTTGTTTACATGGACATATAAAAGGTGCCTCTATTTATTAACATTTCTATGATCATAGGTTTGGATCCTCTTTCTGTAGCTTTCACAACAGAAATGAGGACTTATGCAGATGAATTATAGGATTGGGTAGGGTAGGTATTACAGACATTGCAGTTATTTTTTTGTCATATAGCATAGAACTGTCTTTTTATAAGGAATGTATCCATCCCCTTGTTCTGTAGAAATAAACTGAAGAACCATGAAGTTTGGAGGCTGGCAGGTAATCTTCAATGCATCCAGTTAAGAAAAGATCAACAACTTACCACAGGGAACTTCCCTGGACTGAGACGTGACTGATGGGCTTTGCATTGAGCCAGACTGCAGAACAACCTGGCTGTTTTCCAGAACGGGGCACAGCTGTGATCTAATGATCCTAAAGCTATTCAGAAACATCAAGAATGGGACAAGAGGGGGTAAATGGAAAACTTCTGCGTTGTATCAACATACAGTACTATACACAGCACCAAATATCAAACCATTAAAGCATTGTCTTGTTACCAGTAGTGCACTGCTTCATATCCAGCATGAAATGAACACTGTTCACATACAGACGCTGCTTTGTGCTAAGGGGTAACCAACATATTACAATTAATCAAAACTGCCTGTACATCCAGTTCAAAAGATTGAGATACTATTGAAAGGAATCTGACACAGCACTGTATTCTTTTATTGCTGGTAATTTCCATATTGTCCCTGTTAAAAAAAAAAAAAGAGAAATGTTGAAGGACAATATATTGGAGGCTTACTGCGAGTTAGGCAATTTCTTTTGGTCTGTGAATTTTACAAGACCTACTGAAATATCACACATATACCTGCACCAAATTATCAGACAGATTTATAGACAGAGCTAACAGCCAGATCTGCTCTTTCAGAGCAGAGATTTAGACAATTTACCTGCTCATAGCCATAAGGCCTCTGTTGCTGAGCGGATGGGCCTGTCTGGGAAGCTCTGTAACTTCCATATTGCTGCCCCTGTCCCTGTTGGTAGCTGGAATATTGTGAAGAGGCTCCTTGTGCAGGACCTGAGAGGACAGTAAAATCCATTACCAGGCAGTAAAATCCATTACAGGCTTGATTTGCTGTGGGAATTCATAGAGTTAACACAATCTAGAACATGATGCTAACAAAGTAAGCTCTGTGAGTAAGAACTGTGGGTAAATTCTGCCCACACCTCCCCTCTAGGTTTACACTGGAGGTGTTAATACTAATAATGATGTAGTTGCAGCAGTGTAGTTGCTTCAGGTTTTAAACTTAACTCAAAAAATGTCATAATACTTCTAAGTGAAGCCTCTCTGAAATCTGTATTGGCACAGATCAGTTATGACCTCCGTGCAAACTACCTGGCCCTTATTTTAGTAACAACTTCCCATTTAAATTCCTATCTAACCTTGCTGTGCCACCATAAGCAACAGAGGAGTGATTCTCTGGTGTACTGATGTTCTTTTTCATGTCAGTTCAGAAGAACTAGGTGTGTAGGAGGCCTGGGAACCCAGGCAGTGACCTCCTGATGATATTTAGCACAAAATCAACATGAAGAGAATGTGTATTTTCTAACTTCTACCAAAGAGAGGGATTCAGGATGGAACGCAGTGCTATACTAATGTATGTTACTGCCCAGAATCCCTAAACTACATCTTTGGGTAATTTTGGTACATTGTTAATCCAAAGTTAATCAAGGAAATAGTTTACAGCCTATTTTAGCTCAGGAATAGAGGTATCAGGGTGAAACACTGCAAACACTTGACCAGCCACTCAGAGTTTTCTTACCATATCCTTGCTGCTGTCCTGGGTAACTCTGTTGATTTGGGTATTGCTGCTGGGAATATGTTTGCTGTTGTGCAGCTCCCTGTTGGTACCCTGCCTGCTGCTGGCTGTACTGAGAATTTCCTGGAGAGGGAAATATTGGAATGGTTTGGTCATAGATGAGGCAGGTATTTCACTGTACAAGTGGATCATAAAGAAAACAAAGGCGGAAGGAGCCTTGGTCCGGAACTCATACACAAATACTTTTCTTAGAAACACATTATTGGATTTTGCCAAGCAAGATGTTTATTTCTCCAGTGAATTTTACTTCCTTTGAATAGAAGAGTTACTTATTTATATACATCCATAAACAAACAAAAAACCTGATCCCCAAAGGATTTTTTTTAACCTGAAGGGCTTCAGAAGGAAAAGTCACAAAGATAAGTCTGCCAGGGTAAATAACTGCTTTCTCAAGAAGCCCTCTCATTGTATTTTCTTCTAGATAATGATGTTCATTCATATATCCCAGAAAGACCACTTATCTAGTTGCTACTGGTATTTTTTTTCAAGTACCTATGATGGAAATTCCATTTGCTGTATCCTGAAATAATAAAATTAACAGAGGCTCTATAGATGACATTGCTTCTCCTAAATGCCACCTTGCTGCATCATAATCCAGTCAATATTTCCAGTTAATTTAGAGTTCATCTATCTTAATAATATGTTGAATTTACTGTTAAGATTTTGCTGCATTTTCCTACCTCCTTCGTAATAGTGTTGTGTAGAGTCGTCAAACGACCGGTCGTAGCTCTGTTCAGTATAGGATGACTGCTGATAGGCATAATCACCATGTCCTGCAAGGAATCACAAAGATTTGTCAGACACATTCTTAATGGGACCATAGACATAGTGTTGAATAGATATTGAATATATATTATGAAGCTGCTTATGCACCAAGATGAGGCTAAGAGCAAATATAGACCCCTTAGGGAGAACATCGAACACAGGGCAAGGAAAGTCACACCAATGGATAAAATTCTTGTGTTTACTAATCCAAACTGTGCTTGGGCTCTTTTTGGAGCAGTTTATACAGCAGGGTACACTGATGTGCACCCATCCCCTGGGATTCTCATTTTCCAGCATTTAAATCGGAAATGAAGCATGAAGGTTTGTCCTTGGATGTGGCAGTGGTGGTGCTCTGCACTTTATCAGTATCACAGTGAGCCCAGCTCAGAGGAATTACCATCTGGATAGTATTGCTGATTCATAGGTTCTGAGGAGCCTTGGCCATGACTGTACTGCTCACTGTAATATTCTTCCTGACCCATGTACTGCTGCGAGGAACCTGCAAGGCACAAGACAAGGCAAACTGAGCCTGTGGACTCCCAAGGGATGGGTTTCTCTTATCCAATATTTTTTTTAAGAAAACAAGGTTCATGTCTGGATAAACAAACAATTGAGAGTGGTTATAAAGATGTTTTGCTCACTAGAAAAATGAAAATAAATTTGCATTCTCAGAAAAAAATGGTTGGAATTGAAATCACACAATAGTCAGTAACACATCCTAGAATGACTCACTTCTGCAGCAACATCAATTTCATCTACTAATCTGAGCACAGGAATGGATTCCATGCTCAAGAGATGGTCAGAATTAAATACATTTTCATTAATACATTAATTTGTTTTTTAGTAAAATTCAGTTTATTTTAGAATCAGTCTAGCAGGTTTATTACCTCTTAGAACTGTATGCAGAGAGGTCTTGGAGCATGGTAGTTATCCTCTGGTGTTTTCCATTCCTTGGCCTAATTTTTGATTCTAATTGCTGGCAAATTGTATCTTCTTTCCAGAAATGTGCTCCTTGCTAACTATGCCATGTTAGGGCTGATCCAACACCATGGGAAAGAATTTAATAGATTCCCAGTGGCTTGAATGAGCTGTATATCAAATTGCTCATCTTTTCTATAGAGATTTATGATCCCTTTTAGACAGAATTATTGTTCTAAACACCTGAAATAGTTAAATATCTTGAAAACAGATTGAGGTTCATCTCATTGTCACGATAGTTGCACCATTCAGGATTTCCTGTGCTCCTGGCTGGGATTCTCTATTTGTAAATGTGACTTGGAAATTTTGGTGACTTATGTACCCCACAGGACAGACTGAGTATCATCCATCTAATGAGAGTTCTATCAATAATCTGATAGCAGTTTTACCTTGCTGTGAAGCTCTGTAAGGGCCCATGGGTCGCTGCCCCATCATGCTGTTGCCTTGGTTGCTCTGGCTCATCATGGCAATGGAGGATTGTCCCTGGTAGTGCTGGCTCCCTCCTTGTGCCGAGTTGTAATGTGACGTTGCTGCTTGCTGGTGCATCATGGAGACTACAATGGACATGGAAAAGATTGTTTTCCAAAGATGGGGAAGTTCTCTGCTACTCTCTTTGGAAGCAAGTTAAAACCTTCAGCTAACACGCATCCAGCAGGTATTTAAAAATACACCCAGCCTTGATTATTATTAGCTTATTTAAAAGAATGTAAACCTTATTGCAGTAGGGTTAAAGAAAGAAACAATAAATTATGTTTGTTCCTGTCTACCTCCCGACTATTTCATTGCTGCATTTCTTTTCTAATATACTCTTTCTTCTGCTTCCATCTTCTCATACACCTGATCATTACAGAATTTAAGTAAACTGATATTCTAGGATTTATTTGATTCCTAAATTTCATGCTGCTGTAAAGACCTCTAAAGCATCAGACATCCCATTCAATGTGATTGATCTAGCAAACTTCTTTTTAAAATAGGAGATTGAGGTATCTGCTAGTCTCTTAATGCCCTGCAAAAAATGTAAAATACTAATAAAATAACAAATGTAAACATTAAAAATGGGGTAGTAAACGGTAAATGTGTTATATCCTGGCAGCTTCTTTGTGCTTGGGTAAAGGTGCTGCTCCAATCTCTCCCATGGCTGTGGGATTTGCTGCCAGGGCTATCAGACAGTGCTGCTGCACCTCTAACTAACCCCTTTTTCCCAGTTCAGCCCTAACCATGGCGAGTCAGCCTAAGTTAAAGCAAGAGTGAAGCTGTTTTGACTTACACTGGTGCCTGGAAATTCAGATATGTCTTAAAGCTGTCTATTCCTCTAGTACACTTCTCACTGTCTACAGAAAATATTTACAGAACAAAGTCATGTGTGGTAAACCCTGTGAGGTCAGTGGAAAGTCAAGGTGGCCCAGGAGGAGGAAGAGGGTGTTTACCTGGATTAGACTGCATGTTGATGTTTGTTCGAGAGACGTAATTGCCTATTGAGCCCTGGCCTTGCATTGGCACATTCTGAGATGCAGGCACTGTGTGGCTGTAACCAGGGCCAGTCCCATGGCTGCTGACAGTCATACTCAGAGAGGTCGTGGGCATGGTGCTCTGGCCTGACTGCTGCATAGACACGTGGTTAGGACCTGCAGAAATTAGAGAGAGCAGCAAGGAACTCTGAGCTATTATTGGCAATGAACAGTGAGCATGAGGCCTCGTGGCCTTTTTGAAATACCTTACGATAAGGCAAAATAAAAACCCCAAAATCCTCATTATTAAAACTCCCTGTTATCTACAGACGAATTGAAACTGCCTGCTGCACAGTTAGAGCGATCCTCCTCTTCCTGGCAGCCAAATCCAGGCTGTTCAGGATTGCAGATGAGAAGAACAAAACAGCAGTGCCCTACAACCACTTCCAGAATTAAAAAATGCCAGTAATTTCAGATACTTCAGAAAATACATAAACTCTGGAAACATCCCAGCCTTTTGAAATTTGTTCTTTCCTTCCTCTTGTCCTGTAGCTGATTCCTTTTCCCCCTTTACACAAGCAGTGACAATGGGAATACACAGTAGTGTCCGAGAGACACTTTGCACATTGCTGCATCCACTGGGTTTCTCTATAACCAGCTCTATAACGTGAAGTTTGACTCAAAGTACCTCAGAGGAAGATAAATTTTTCAAATCACCATAGCAATCCAAGTTGTTACTCCCTTTCCAACATCAGAATGTAATCATCAGACTGCTCCAGATATATCCTGGGTTTGTATCATCCTGCTTATCTGGCAGTGCGCTTATTTTTTAGAGTTCTCTTGCAGTTGGGTAGCTAATACTGGGGGAAGTGGGGCTCTTATTTTTTGTTTATTGATGTAAATAGTTTTATGAATGAGATTTGGAAAGTTGTTTTCACTGTATGTTGTTACTATCCAAGTTGTGATGGTGCATATTGTTGTCTATCTAAATTCAGCCATATTGTTGTCAATCTCAATTAATTTAGGTAGAATGCAGAATCCTTAGAAGAGGCAGAATTATGTTGTAATGTTTAAATAACGATATTTTAATTCAGGGTTATTAAGTGTATCTGCAGCCTCTAAAAAACGTCTAACTCATTTAGTACAAACCTCATTAATTACCCTTAATGGTTTTCATAGACATCAAAATGAGAACATTTGCTGTAAATTATATTTTCCTCTGATAGAGAGGTGCAAGCAGCAGTTTCAACTAGAGATAAAGAGAGAGAGCTCTCCTGATATCAGTGGAGCTGGGTCAAAATGCAGCTACAGAAAATGATCTGTGTTTTGCTCTGGTTTGTTTAAGTTGTGAGGCTGATCCTTGTGCAACACAAGGTCACACAGTGTGTGAATGGAGATAGCAGTTGCCTTCAGTGAGAGATGGAGTGAAGCAAGTGTTGGTAAACCTTGCCTTATTTGCATGGGAAAAATTAGAGATTCTTGGCCTCCTTTAAAATAAGAAAAAAAAACCGTTGGCTAATTTGTGATTGTAAGGGAAAATATGTGGATGAGTCCAGTTCTCAGGACTTCCACCCCGGTTCTGTCAATCAGCAGCAAATTATTACAAAGATCTGGAGGAGGCTGGGGAGCAAATCAGAAAACCAACAACAGTAGCACTGAAAATGTCTATTCTTAATAACACAAAATGATGTTTTGACTGACTTAATATATTACTCATACTCAGTATTAAATCCTTCAAAACAAAGGCCCTGAAAAATTTAGTAAGTTCACTTTGCAGGTTGTAGCTGTTTAAAACAGGTCCCTTATCCATTTCTTTTAAAGGTACTATAGGCTTGACCACAAAGGCATTTTTAAAAACCCAGAAGTAATTTCATGGCTTGTATCTGCTCCTGAGTCCCCTTGCCAAGGTCTGCGATTTTACAATCAGATATTTTTATTTATAGAAGCTGGTTTTGCTCTCTGTCACTCTGGGAGACACCCACAGAAACAACTGACTGAATAACTATGATCTACAAAATAAACAGATTATTCATAATATGAAATGCACATATTAAAAAACTGGTTTTCAATTAGTTTAGTTGCATGAACAAAACCAAACAGACAGATTATATTATCTTATTAATATGAAATGTCTGTGCAAATTCTTTGACTGTGTAGTACAATCTCTGCAAGCTTCTGTAGAGGACAAAAGACTGGTGCAACACCAATTGTTTTGTAAGGAGAAATGTATCCTGGAAGGTCTTTGCAATCTGAAGCCTTGGTTGTGTGGTTAGTCATGCAAGCAATTCCATTTTACCCTGGCCAACCCCACCACTTCCAGGAGAGAAATACTGCAACATGTAATTTTTCTTACTAAAAACTTGGATGCTTCTTTACTCGGTGATTTTCATCATGCATTTTTTTTAAAAAAAAATGTCTTTAATTTCCTCTGCAGAAACACAAAGCACTCTGCAGAAGCCAACATCATTCCTGCCTGTAGCCATTTTGTGGTGATTTCAGCATGTGCCTGAAATCCCCATATGCCTGAAAGGTGAGTTAGGAGAGGTCTTTTCCAGCTCTCTAAGTATATTCTGCATTAATGATTTTGTTGCCAGGCAACAGCAAAGCAGCACAAAGGGGACCAAAGCTCACCATTGCTAATCTGACTCTGCATGAGGGAGGAAGGAGGAAGGCCGGTCCCGATGGCATCGCTGAGATTGCTCTGGGAGTGGAGGGATTGGTTGGATGCGCTCTGACTCATCCCTCCTGGGCCCAAGTTTATATTTTGCGTTGGTGGCTGCGAAACAACAAGGAGGAAAAACAAATTCTTTGCTTAGGTTTTTAATTAGAAAAATAGCAGCCCCCCCAAATTAGCCTGACTATGACTAAAAACTGCCTGGGCTAAATACGTGTTTGCTTTTTGGGTAAACCTTTCTTGGTTTGACTCCTCTGTGTGAATGACATTGAGCATGACAGAGCAGATGACAGGCAGCAGCACAGTGAAGGGCTTGAAATTCTGTTTGTCACAGAGTGTGGCTTCTGTGCTCGTTCCTCTGCACTCACATGGATTTCCAAACACAACCACTGTGGGAAATGCATTAGCAAAGACAACACAGGAGTGTGGTGACAGATTGACCTCTGCCAAGCTATGCTGCAGTTTGTGTTATGTGTGGTACTTCCCAAATCAATCCACTGAGCAGGAATAACTACATGTGTAAAGACAAAACAATGCCCAAGTGAGTGTTGAATTAGATTTTTGACGTAAAACAACCTCATTTTTTTCCCCCAAGCAAAGAATACCGTAAGAACAGGTAAGAATATTGAATCTGGAACAAATGGAGCTGTTCAGAGCTGTACTACTGCATCATAAACCTTGTGCTATGGGACAGAGATTAACAAAAATGTTCCAAAGAACATAATTTAAACACAGTAGAAGTAACTTTTTATTTGTTTGGTGGCCTACTTGGACACTTCAAAACTTTTAGCTGGAAAAATACTAAAAAATGGTTCATTTATAGAGATCAGTGACAGAATCAAAGAACATTTCCCTCTGGAATAGCTAATGTATCTGAGGGAAATAACTATGGTATTAGTTATGCTAATAACTAATCATTAGTTACAGTAATTGTACTGGTACTTACAGCAGGAAGCAAGGACTGCATATTCTGGTTAGAGTCTGCTATTGTTGCCAAATAAACCAAGTTTCTGTGCAAGATTTGTTGGTATCTACAGAACAAGGAGCAAAGCTTATTTTGGAAAGGGTTAACAATACACAAAATTCCAAGTCTTTATCTTTTTGTTTTTTCCTATTTACAGATGGTTAGTTAAATTACCTTAACCCATTTTTTAATCTGTCCTAATAAACAGCAGTGGCAATGAGCCATGTCTGTGCTGTCATGTTTCCCATCAAGGATCAGTGTGCTCAACACCTCTTTTACAAAAGGATGAACTTTTGGGGGAAGGAAGAGGTAAAATACACCCTCTTTTGAAAGCACTTTGAACTGTGGAGCTGGGACCTCAGTCTTTGAGGACTGACACCCAGTCAGCTGCTCCAGCAATCACTTTTCCTTTCTCTGTCTAGCAAGGGCCCTGATAGGAGTGAAATTCCAGAACTCCAAAGCCCAAAACCTGTTTTCCCTGCCAGCAAGCTGAGAAGAACATGATTTTCTTCAAGAGTGCTCTAACTGGAGTGTTTACTCAAGTAAGCACCACCAGAACCATTTAAGCTTCTTCACAGTTCTCCATGAACTGGAAAAGCTCCTAAAAAGGAGCAGGAGTCTTTCCAAGAGCAAACCAACAGCTATGCCACTGAGCAAAGGGAAGAGTCAGACTTGAGGAAGCATTTCTAACAAACTCCCCAATTCGTAATACTTACTGAGTACATTCTGCAGTTTTCCCCTTGCTCTGATAATCCATAATACATTGTATTAGGTGGTGATTTTCATCCAGCATCTGCATAAAAGAAATAGGACCAAAACATGTTACTATGAGAATTGTATAAAAATCCTGTATTTTTGTGATCCTTCACCCTCCTTGGCACTGGATGATGTTTTGTGCAGTTTTGTGCAGTTTTAAGTGACCTACACAATAAATGACTTTATTAAGCCACAAGGCTGAATCACTTCTAAACAGTTATCTTTAAAGTAGTTACTTGAAATACCCTTACAGAAGAATTAATGGAATTACCTTGTTCCTTAAATGGCAGATAAATTCTGATGCTGAAGAAGGAAAACACTTTCACTATGAGGTTATCTCTGCCTCATCCCAAAATATCACCCAACTCTTTCCAAAACATCAGGTATTATTAACATGCCAACTTTTGAGTAAGAAACAAACTTTCAAACAATTAAACCTACTCATTTTCCTGCCCAGGACTAAGAGCATGCTGACAGCTGAACCTGATAAAGTATAAAATTTGCATCACTGCATCTAGTGAAACCATGTCTAAGAGAATTACATCCCAATATGTCCTTACTTTTATTTAATGAACTCATAATATGACTAAAAGCTTAAAATACCCTTTGCTTTGTTTTGGAATTTCAGATAGATTAGTTTGTCTCTTTCCCCCAGATTTCTTGTGAATGCAGCACACTTTCTCCAGGTGAATTAATAAAAAAAATACCAGCATGTAGAAATTTAGATTTGCCTCTGGCATATTAGAGCTTGTAGACACCACTGCTATCAAGTGCTTACAAGACTGGGCCCTTGAACCACTGTGTCATCAGGAGAGGAGAGCTCTTGAGAAAAGAACCATTTCTGGTTCAGGACCAAATTTTACTGCCCTGGAACTGCAATTTGATGAACTATTTTAGAGGAGCACCACCACTGCTCTATTGCCAAAAGCTCTAACTTTCTCCATGTGAAATCTATTTTAAGAATGTTTGATACTGGGAAAAGAACAGCTTTGAAAGATATTAAAATTGAGTTAAAGAAAAATAAGCTGCTTATATAATACGAATGCAAATAAGAATAATCTTTTTCATTGAAATTTGTGCATGTTCTCAAAAGCTCACTTTAATGAGGATTTTGGAGGGCTTTTTTTCCATTTCCATCTTTGACTATAAATCCCATCCAGTTTCTGTGCCTGCAAGTCTCTTCCTCAGCATTGCTGTTTGTCAAAGAGAAAATCACTGCCAAGAGCCCAGCACTGATGGACAGTCCCAAAGTAACCTGCCAGCAAATGCACCTGAGACTGGAGATTGTTTCACTCATTATTTTTAAAGAAAGGACATTTTGAAGCTTCCATGAAGTTTATGAATATGCAAAAAGGGTAGAAGAAGATACTTTATCTGCCCTTTGTCTGTGGGTACAGGTTTAATTACGAACTATCTGGATTATGAAGTAATTCCAACTGATTTGGAGCTTAAAGGAAAATTTATTCACCTAGTCTGAAATCTTTCAGTATTTAAAATTAATTGGTTCACAACACCACGTGCTGCAAGAGCTCCACAAAATGGGATGTTTCCAAACAGTCTCCCGAGATGCAAGTCATCTCTCTAGCCTCTCGTGGCAGTTTGTTCTGCCTTCATCTCTGCTCTGTCACACGCTGCCTCCGAGGGGATTTTTCCCCCCTAGGAATCATGAATTGGCACCAGATCACGACTTGGCTGCACAACCCCTGGTGATGGATTAATTGCTGTGTTGGCAGTGGCACTTCTGCACTGGTGGCTCTGAGCGAAGGGAGCTCACACCTGGCTGCCACCACAGCACGGGAACATCACCTGAGCCGTGGGGAACGGCCAAAATCACAGCAAAAGTACAAATGGCAAACAGCAGGGACAGGACAAACACGCATGTCCTCTATTGACACCTCCAGCCTCGTCACTCCTGACCGTCACCTTCTGCAGGAGGAAGGGTCTGCTTGTGTGTGCAGCCCCTGCTGCCAACCCTGGCAAATAGGAAACAATAACTTCCCAACTCGATGCCATGTGGGCATCTCCTCTCCAGAGAAAATCTTTCAAAACCTTTGTCATTAAACATCAATAAACACATCACAATAATAATATTAATAATAGTTTATGAAAAATACCAGCGGCTGGTGCTCCCTCTGTCTTCTGAGAGATTAAAATTCTGCATCCAGATACAAAAGAAAACCCTTGCAAATCCAGTATTTTATTTCAATTCATTTTTTTAGGTTGGATTCTTGGGGGGCCAGAAGCTGACATACCATCATAAATTAATCGCCTATTTGCAAATGTTATTGCCGTTTCCCAATGTATGCTTGGCAGCGTATCCCCTTGGCGAGCAGCAGGGCTAACGTGCCATCCCGGTTTTATTCCCTACGTCCTTCTCTCGCTCTCTTTGCAGCGATCTGAGCACCTTTGCTTTGTTCCACCTCCTCCTCCTCCTCCTCCTTCCCCCACCTCTCTCTCTCCAGCTGTCCATCTCTGCAGCCCTCGCAAATTCACGAGTTTTCCTGATCGCCCTAGAAATCAGCCTCCAGCTGCAGGAGCATGGACAGAATAAATGTCTAAAATTGTCTGTATAAAAGCATGCTCTTTTACCTTCTGGATAGTTTGCTGGGTGACCTCCCCTTTGCCTCTTGGGCGAGCAGAAGCAAAGGCAACCGACATGGTGGGGGTTTTTTATGTGTCTATAATATATCGGTTCCAGGCTCTAATAATATTGTTATTATCTGGCTGCTATTGCCGTGCGAGGATTCTCCGCAGTGCACGGGGAGGGGGGCGGCCGCAGATGGTACGATCTGCGCCCCGCGAACACCCGCGGGCGCCGCGCCCCGCGCCGCCGGGCACCGCCCCCGCCGCGCCCCCCCGAGCCCCCGCGGCTGCGGGGCGGGGGCGGCGGCCGCGGTGCGCGGAGGGAACGGGAGCGGCGCCGCCGCCGCCTCCCCGCCGCCCGCACATGGTGCGGTCCCGGCCGCCGGGCTCCCGCCGCCTCGGCCGCGCCGCCCGCTGCGCCAACTGCGTACGCCAGCCGCGTACGCCAAGTGCGCCAGAGCGGGGAGAGGCGCGGGGCCGCCTACGCCAAGTGCGTAGCGCGCGGGGTGCCGCGTCCGGCGGGGGGACAGCGGGAGCGGGGGGACAGAGCGGCCGGACGGGCCGGACAGCACGGCGACACCGGGACAGGCGTGGAGCTCCTCTGCTGCCGCGGAAGGCCGAGCGAACCGGGCTGTTCAAACTGGCGTCGGGGTGACCTAATTGTGGCTGTGCAGTACCTCGAGGGGACTCACAGCGAGGATGGGGCAAGGCTCTTTACAAGAGAGTGGAGTGATAGGACAAGGGGAATGGGTTCAAATTGAAAAAGAGTAGGTTTGGGTTAGATAGTAGGAAAATCTTCCCTGCGAGGGCGGCGAGGCCCTGGCACAGGTTGCTCAGAGAAGCTGTGGTTGCCCCACGCCTTGAAATGTCCAAGGCCAGGCTGGACGGGGCTGGACGGGGCTGGGAGCAGCCTGGCACAGCGGCACGTGTCCCTGCCCGGGTCCCTTCCACCCCAAACCCTTCCGGCTCCCCTGCGGCAGCGCGGGGCGTGCCGGCCGCTGCGCAAGCTGCGCCGAGTGCGTACGCCAAGTGCGCAGCGCAGGAGCGCAGCGGCCCCGCCCCCGGCCCGCCCGGATGACGGTGCGGGTTCTGCCGGAGCCATGAGCTACGACCGCGCCATCACCGTCTTCTCCCCGGACGGGCACCTCTTCCAGGTGGAGTACGCGCAGGAGGCGGTCAAGAAGGGCTCCACCGCGGTGAGTCGGCGGCCGCGACGTTGGCGGGGCGGCGGCTGAGGGGGGCCCGCGGCGGGGCCTGCGCCGCGCTGCGCGCCCGGCCTGGCGGGCCCGGGAGGCCGCGGGAGCGGCGGGATCCGCTCCAGGGAGATTCCCTGGGGTGCATCTGCCGCCGCTGGAGCTGCCCAAAGGCATCGCCTCCTGCGGGGCTCCGGCGTTGTGTCAGGCCCGCAGGGATCCTCTCTTCTCTTGGTCTGTACGTGCTGCAGATTGTGGTATTTTATATTTGTGCACGAGGGAGATTCCCGGTGGATTGGGAAACGCGTCGGTAAAAGCGCTTAGAAGGACATTGCTGGCTCCCAGCTTCCAGTTGTCCCAAGCTTTTTCTCAATGATAGTTTTATTTCATTTAGGGGAGAAGAAAAAAAGTATTAGTTTGCAAATAACATTGTATTAGTGATTGTAATAAGTTATAGCAATAATAAGTTTTAATTTTTAAAATCATAACTTTATTAATAGGTGTAGTATGTTTTAATTGCCATTACCAAAGAGAAAATGTATCATCTTTGGGGTGGGAATGAATGTAACAAGATTTAGCGCCAAATAGATTCTTTGTTTTATTTTCAGAAGTTAAAAATACTCTAAAAATGCAGACAGCATGCAGTATAACCACCGGTCTTGTCTCTTGTTGAGTCTAATGTTTTTGGAAACATTTGGAACATGCTGACACCAGGGCCACCCTGTAAGAAAATATTATTCCCATCCCCTTGTGAGAAACAGTGGGAATGAAGGGGAAGGGTCAAGGGTTTTTTGAAAAGGTGTATTCAAGGTATGAATTAGGACATTAAGGCAGCTACTGACAGAACATTTTGGCAGCTGTAGGTGTTACTTGGCCTGATCTTCAGTGCCTTGGGCTCTTGAGTTGAGCAGTTCCACTGGAGTAGTTGGGTTTTCCTTGTTCATCCTGGCTCCTTGGCTGTGGAATCACTGATGGTACTGTTGGAGAAGAGACAGTTTGTAAGAGGAGCTGGAATCTGTCTCTTGGGAGCCACAGGGATTTAGGTTGGTATAAACTGATGATGAAACTGCACCCTGAAATGCATTGCAATTTTTGTTACATCAGTCCTGCCTCTGGGTTCACTGGGAAATAAAATCCTGACTTCAAGCTGAGGTAATGGTTGCAGTGTGGGGGTTTTTGCTTGGTTACAGATCATTTGAGTAGCCTGCAGCTATGAGGATTTTTGGACCTAGGTTAACTTTTCTTACTTCTGCTTTTCATGCATGGAAGGTTGGAGTAAGAGGGAAGGATATTGTTGTCCTTGGTGTGGAGAAGAAGTCAGTGGCAAAACTCCAGGATGAAAGAACTGTCCGGAAGATCTGTGCTCTGGATGACAATGTCTGCATGGCTTTTGCAGGTACCTGGTCACTTCAGAGGTTGTAGCAGTTTCTGGGGCACCTTTGGGCTTATTTATGGAACACCAAAATACAGGGTGTAACTGGCTGAGAACTGTGGGAAACATGGTATTTCCACAGTAGTTTATTTATTGATTTTTTTTTTTAAATATGGAGAAATAGAGTGTCAGTATCAATAATATTTTAAGGGGAGATCTGATTTAACTGACTAAAACAACAGGGTTTAGCTTGAGTGTGCAGGAATGAGAGGCTCAGTTCTTTCTCCTGCCTTGCTCCCTTAGCCAGGGTCTGGGTTATGTGCAAGGGTGTTCACAAACTTGAGGAAAAATTCTCTAATAAAAACAAGGCTGTAAATGAAAAATGGCAGCATCAGCTAAAACATAAAATAAAAATTAGATTTCTTCAAAATCATTTTTAAAAGGGTCACACACTTTTGTCAGCTAACATCATGCTGCTGTAGCCTCACTAACTAGATGAGATTTGCTGGGCAGATGAAACTGGACTGCATGAGGAATGATGTGTGTGAGAATAAGCACTGCAGATTTGCTGGGATATGGAATGCTGTCAGTAATATTCCCATTACCTGGTTCAGAATTATGTGTGTCACCTAACTCACAAACATGGAAGCTGTAAACTAAATACTTTAGTTATTTTTGTGCATTAGCCACTTTCTGCTGCCTTATAAGTGCTCTTGCTCAGCAAACCTGAGAGTTTGAGCTCTGCTTTGATTTTCCCTTGCTGCTGACACTGAGCCCCTGGGCGTTTTAGGGCCAGATTGGTGTTCTGAGGTATTTTCCTGACTCTGAGGCCACTCTGTCGTTTCAGGGCTGACAGCTGATGCCAGGATAGTCATAAACAGAGCTCGGGTGGAGTGTCAGAGCCACAGGCTCACTGTGGAAGATCCTGTCACCGTGGAGTACATCACACGCTACATTGCCAGCCTGAAACAGGTACTTGGGGCTGCACAGAGCTGCTGAAGATGTGTGCTGACCTGACAGAGATGTTACATGTGCTGTTACATCAGCCTGTGTTATGCATAATGGGCAGCTTGGGTGTGTAACAGGTGTGTAGCACGTGGGACTAGAGTGTCACACGTATAGCATGGAGCATCTGACACTTCTTCAAGCTGTGTAAATGTCTGTCCTCTGGCCTGATTCCAGTTACCTGGTACAAAACACATTCTGGGTGTTTATTGGGAATGGGGATGTAGCAATGGAAAGGAACGACTGAGTGCTGTTTGAGGTTTTTTCCCCCAAGATAAAGCAATTAGAGTTTGTAAGGGCTGCACGGTTCCATGTGTTATGTCATCAGGAACACACTGCTCACCTCACTCCCAGAACAGTGGGCCTGGGTTACTGTCTTTCCTTCATGGCTCCTGGTAGTTTTTCCTCCTGCAAAGCCATTGCAGGGATGGGTAAGAGGGGAGCAAATTAGTGCAGTATTTAATGTTTTGTGCTTGATAGTCATGAATTTAGAATAAATTGCAGCATCAAAATACACCCAGCTGCATTCTGTGAGAAAATTACTCATTTGCCGGTATATTAAACTGATTTTCAGCCACTAGCGAGAATTAGAGAAAATCTAATTTACTTATGCACAGATGTGTTGGAACAGGGGTGATGGTAAATAATGTGATTCTTGTAATAATCACTAGTCTATCAGAGCAAGACACCACTTCCCAAAGTTTCACTTTATTCCTTTATCCAGTCTCACATTTGTGTCTATGTTTTTGGCACATTCACCATTTCTCTGTTGCAAACACACCTGGCCCAGCTCCTGCTGCTGTGGTGCTGTGGGTGTCAGCCCTCCTGCTCCTGCTGGGTGGCAGTGACTTCACTAGCAGTGTCCCAGGAGGGCTGTGACATGGCTCCAGGGTAACCTGCTTATAGCCACAAAGCTGCTGTGGAATCAGTGCAAATCATTGGTGAAAACTGTTCAGGTGTCCTCATGGTAATTTTTGGCACACTGGGGCTTGTAGACGTGACTCTGGCTGCCTCAGCACCACTCAGGAGGTGGGGAGCTGCTTCTGGAAGCTGTAACTAGGCGTGGGAATGGGGGTTGCACAGGAACCACCTCCCTCTTGCCTGCCTTAGGGGCTCTGTGAGATACGGAGTCCTGACCAATGGACAGAGCCAGCTGAAAGTGTTTCTGGTGGCTCTCCTGGTTGTAACTGCTCCAGAGTCTGCTTGGCACCCTAGAAATGTTTTCAGAACTGCCTGTGAGTGTGTCCTTTGTGCTCAGAGGTACACACAGAGCAACGGCCGCAGACCCTTTGGGATCTCCGCCCTCATCGTGGGCTTTGACTTCGATGGGACCCCACGGCTGTACCAGACTGACCCCTCTGGCACATACCATGCTTGGAAGGTGAGTGGATTCAGTCCCTGGTGGAAATGGAATATTTGTGAGTTAATGTCTCCTTTAAAGTGGGACTGGGGTAGAGGAGATCTCGCTGGCCAGATAGTGCTGTCTCACAGCTGCAAAAATCCTT